CCCCCCCCCCCCCTCCCCCAAGCGCCGCGCGCCCAGGGCTGGCGCTGGCGCTCTCTCCCTCCCTCCCCCATGCGCCGCGGGGGGTCAATCCGCGGCGCCCCCAGGGCCGGCGCTCACCATGCGCCACGCGCCCGGGGCCGGCTCCAGCACCGCGCATGCGCCACGTGCCCGGGGCCAGGCCAGCCCTGAGCACTTGGCGGGCGCCGAGAAATGCCCCCGCGGGCGCCATGGCGCCTGCGGGCACCGTGTTGGGGACCACGGATCTATTTCATACACATGGAACTATCTTAATTCTGATAACTATGCTCTTCATTCTCAACAAGGGAAGAATATAAAAAACAAAAGATGGTGATGTATCCCTAATAATCTGCATGCAATATACAGAATTTTTTTTATCATATTAAATAGTTTAAAAAAAAAGTGAACAAAGAGTGTATCTGTACACTGTAATAAGAAGCTAACCTTTTCAGCTATAGATAATTGGTCCTGAACCTTGAGTAGGTCATGCTTTGTCGTCACCAAGTTCTCTTCCAAGAACTTTTGGTTGACAGTACTGTCGTTCAGAGTCTTCTCAAACTGGCACCTCAGAGCAGAAACTGTATCTTCCAGTTGACTTATATCCTGGGTTATGTTAGTCTTCAAAAGAAAAAATATTATAATTATTTTTTTACAAAATCTTAAATGAAACGAATGTATTCAACAAATAATTTAAAATACAATCACAAAATATCTTTAAATAGTGAACTACAGCATTTTGAATAAGTAGGTTAAAAAAAACCCCTCACAGGTCCTAAAGAATGATAATACAAGTTTAGATTTCAGGAAGCATCAATAAAAACATCTTTAAGGTGGATGGAAAGGCTTCTTTCTTTCCAAGTCAAAATTTCAAATTCTTAGAAACTGCTTCATTTCTCTGTGGGAATTATATTCCATTATCTCCTATCACTTATCACTTAGGTACAAATACTACACTCAGTGAAGTGTACAGGCAGTCCCCGGGTTACGTACAAGATAGGGAGGACTGTAGGTTTGTTCTTAAGTTGAATCTGTATGTAAGTCGGAACTGGCGTCAGGATTCAGCTGCTGCTGAAACTGATCAGTTTCAACAGCGGCTGAATCTGGACGCCAGTTCTGACTTACATACAGATTCAACTTAAGAATCCCAGGCATCCCCAAGTCAGCTGCTGCTGAAACTGATCAGCAGCTGATTCC